TACAAGAGGCAACCAATCGTTGTTTCTCTCTCACATCAGTGTTTCTCTCCCACTCTTTCTCTTTCCCTTCCTCTCTTTCTCCCTCCCTTCTTCTGTCTAAAAATCAAAAAGCATGTCCTCAAGGAGGGAGGGACGGAAGGAGAGAAAGAAAGAAGAAAGGATTTTTTTGAAGGCTGGTCACATAGGCACCTCTGCCCAGAGTGTACCAAAGCTCCAGACTCCCAGAATGAAGCAGGTTGAGGTCAGTATAAAACCACAGTGTTTGTATAAACAGTTTAATCCGCTTTATTATTTAGGGAAAGCCTTATATCAATGTAGGGAACTGTTTACCAGCCAAGTTCCCAGATACCAGCCAAGGGCCAACCTTGCATGCAGAGCTTTTAAAGGGTAACAGTCTCAGGTCAGCTATGTTAACTCTTTTTTTTTTTTCTTTTCTGCACAGGAGGAGTGAGAAAACAGGAGCTGCCACCCAGGTTTCTACTGAAAGCATGCAGATGGACGTGTTATCACTTATGGAGATGGTGGGAACAAAAGGAGGTATAGGTTTATGGGAAAAAAATTAAATTCTGAACCCATAAAATTGGAGATAGCTCTGTATGAGGTATCAGGTTAAGTATGCTATGTTGCAATCATAAACAACCTTAAAGTTTCAGTGGCTTAACATAATAAAGTTTATTTCTCACTTAAGTTACAGATCTTTTATAGCCTGGTAGAAGTTGGCAAGCTGGGAAAGGGTGGTTTCTGTTCCACGTAGTTACTTGAGGACCCAAGCTGGTGGAGGCTGTATGTTGGGAACCACCCTGCCTGGTTTCAGGAGCTGTAACCCCACCATGGCTAAGGCTGAGTGAGCGACCTTTGGACCATAAGCCACTAAGGAGACAAAGCTTATCTCCTTGGCAGGAGCCCCGCTTCTGCTCCTTTTTCCATAACTGGCCTTCAATGCTTGATCGGTTAGCCAATGACGGGTAAGATTCCCAAAGAGGGGAACCACCTAAGACAGGCATGATCTCATGGAGGCCCCAGGGAAGGACTTGGGGGACTATGGAGAAAGGGGGTGATGGACCCTCAGCCCTAGGCTTTGACGAAGTCTGAGTCCTCAGTCTGTCTGTGAGAAGTCTCTGAGAATTCCTTGGCTATCTGCCTCCTCTGCCTGACTTAAGCCCGAAACAATGACAGATGGTGGTGCAGCCCTGTGCTGGAAAGGGCGGGCTCCCCAGGTGATCAGACCTGAGAAAGGATATGTAAAATCCTGTGAAGAATGCTTTGCTAAGAATGCTTAGTTAAATGATCAAGGCCCAGGCAGAAAATGAGTTTGTTTTCCCAAAGTTTTGTAGCCTTTTACCTGATAGACCCTGACTTAGAAGAAGCCCTAATAGTTCTTCATATGCTATCCTCTGTTTACTGCCTGGCAATTGATTAATAAGTTGTATCTGAACTCCTGTGCAAAAAAATAAAATAAAATAAAAGCCTGTCTAGGCAAGGGCTGGGCTCCATGCTCTCTCCTTGAGAGAGTTGCCAGGCCGTCCCTTTTCCTCCACAGGACTCTGTAGTCCACGTGAATTTGTCTCATATCTCATCCATGACGCCGCTGGCACTGCAGGCCAGTGCACGTGTCGGCTGTACCATCTAGAAAGCCAATTTTTGTGATAGAAAAGAGGTGACTGGAGAGGTCTTATATCAGCTCCACAATGCTTTAGTCTAGGGTGGCAGACAGCATTTTCACTCACAGTCCAAAACTAGTCACGGGCCCTCCACTAACTGTTAAGAGGGGCTGGGAAACGTGGGATAGTAGCTGGGATGTTTAATGAGCATACTGCTTCTGCCACAATATCCAGGGGGAATATCAGGCAGGTATAAATATTGTGGAGACTTCCATTTAGGAGTCCTAAGAAGACAGGTGATATTTAAAGCCATCCTAACTTCCTCATGATCTGAATCCCAATGGCTTAATAAAGGCCACGTTATCACCCTTTTCTGGTTTGAAGGAACATGAAATCCCCATTGGTGGATACTCTTCAAACCTCCCTGTAATGAAACTAGCAACACACAGATGTTTTCACTAGCTCACAAGACAGAATTTGGCTAAGGATTGAAGGAAGGTTTTGAAGCAATCTGAGAATACTTGGTCCCAGAAAGGCCTGCCTAGAAATACCCTGATGCTCAGAGCAGAGGAAGCAGGCTCACAAATGTGAGAAGGGACATATGAAAATGTAGATGGAGGTATTAAGGGGCAAGATCACAGAAGCTTGAGTTTTCAACAGTAGGTAACAAAACTCATGCCAAGGGCTACCACTAGGTGTCACTAGTAGGAAAAGAAAGAATGAAAGGAGGAAGAAAATGCCTCCAAATGACCTCAGGTACAATTTAGTGGAAGCTGTACCTACACTAGCTAGAACTGTGCTAATGAAAAAAAATGAGGGCAGGAGTAAAATGACAGTAGGAATCATGAATTTTATTCTGAACTGTAATGACTTTCAAATGGACCTTATGGGTTCCTGTTTTAAGATCACATGCATACCTGAGCTGCATGGGTGTGCACGTGAGCATCTGTGTACCTGGGTCTCTGCAGTGGAGAAAGGTAGTTTATTCAGCCTCCAAATGCTTTCCAAACATTTTATACTTTTATGTGACTAACCACATCAATTATTTAGGTGGAGATACAAAAAAAAGTTTCATTTCTCTCTCATTCTTGTGTATGTATGTGCAAGGTCTGTCCAGAAAAAGTCCAGCCATTGTTAATATGAGAATGATCTTCACAACATTAGTGTAACCTGGCCGTCAAGGAGAGTGCACTGGAATGCACATGCATGAACAATGATGACTTCACTGTACTAGTCAGTGAGGCAGAAGACACTGCTGAGTACTTTGTCTACTATGTATTGTGTACTGTGGGGCCATCACATTCAAAATGACTGAGCAAGTAGAGCAATGAATTTGCAACAAATTTGTGTTAAGCTTGAACATATCTCTGTGGGAACTATTCCGATGATTCAGAAGGCCACAGCTATGGGCAACTGGTGATTGGCAGTTTCATCACAAAAATGTGCCTGCTCATGCATTACACCTCGGCAGAGTTTTTTCGGAGAAACATCATCAAACTACCAAAGTGACTCAGCCCTTCTACAGCCTTATTTGGCACTATGAGACTTAAAATCACCATTGAAAGGGAAGAGATTTCAGAGCATCAAGGAGTTTCAGGAAAATATAATGAAGCAGCTGATGGCAATTGGGAGAACTGTGTGAGGTCCTTGAGTGCACACTTTGAAGGGAACTGTGGTGTCATTGTCTGACATACAATGTTTCTTGTATCTTGTATCTTCTTCAATAAATGTCCGTATTTTTCATATTACAGGGCTGGATTCCTTCTGGACAGACTTCATATGCATGCATACCTACTGAGGTCTTCAGTTTATTCAATATCAGATTTAAGGTCAATAGATCTAAGATGTATCTTATTTTAATGTCCAGCTTATATCAAAGCAAAAAAGAAGAACTTCACCAGAAATAGCAACCCTTATTTAGTCCTTCAGTGACACCAAGTGAGGACTGCTAACATACTCCGTGTACCAATAAAATAACTTGGGATTGCTAACAAATAATGTAAATTATAATAAATCAAAATATATTTGATTATCGCATAGGTAAAGTGATTCTTCAAAACTATGTGCATGGACCAATGAAACAAATTTGTCAAAAGGGAAATTATCCCATAAAATATGACAATCTCCCTAAAACTATATTGAACAGAATAGAAATAAGAACAAAATAGCATTGCAGGAAAATCCATTATTCTGGGCTTCTCAATCTTCTATATGTCTGGGGTCATAGAACAAAAAAAAAACATCATTTATGTGGCATATTGGGGTAAATGGACAAGGTCTCTGGGTTTCAGCAGCTCCACGCCCAATGGGTGATTCAAGAATCTGCGATCAGTATGTCAGGACATTAAATGTAGATTATGATTTTCAATCTTGAAGTCACACCTGAATCACTTGGGAAGTCAGAAAAGGACATATTTATCCCTCTCCCTCTTTAAGATTTTTACCCATTGGTCTGGGCATCAGAACTTTTTAATAGCCCCAGGCGACTCTAAGGGAGTTTAAGAGTTAAGAAACACCACAGTAGAAGATAGTCAAAGAAATACATATATATCATATATATATGAATATGAAAAACTATCAGACTCATCCAGTCTCCAGTTTTGAACACAAGTATGAGACTTTAAAAAAAAAGACCTGAGAAGTATAAGGAGAAAAATCAAATTTGCAAAGATCAAAATATTAAAGTGAAAATCTTTCATCACTTCCCCAGGCAACCACTACTTTTTTTTTAAGAAAAGTCTTACCAATGCAATATATGCCCTCATATCTGTAGAAACGTTTCTCCTATCTAGAGAAACAGTATTTTCTGTACACTAAAGAGGGCACACTACACATATTCTGTGGCTACAAGTAATTAATATGCCTACACTGTATTTCATGTAATCATTCCCCTGTTGATGATCGCTTTAGCTATCCCCATTCTTCCTTAAAATAAAACAATCTTCATATATTGATTATATGCATTGTGACTAATTTTCCTAATTTTTAGAAGGTAAAATCCTTGAAATAAGATCGCTAGGTGCATTTAAAATTTGGATAAACATGGTAAGACCAAACATTTCACAATAAATGGATGCCACCTACGTTTGTCAAATATAAGATTAATAAAACCGCCGGTTTGGAGGTCCTGCCAGAGAGTGGTTGGTCCGCGGAGCTTTCAAATGGGCCACCGACGACTGGCACTCTGGGGTCACGTGGGCGGCCTCGCCACGCCTTGCTCAGGCTCAGCGCCTCGGCCTAGCTCTGGATCACTCTGTAGTACCTCGTGGGGTCCGCAGTCCGTCGCTCTCGCGGAGGTGGAGCGAGGGAAAAGAAGGTAAATTTTGTTCTAGCTGTGGGGTTGGGTGGCCGGGCCGGGGCGGAGCTCGCAAGAGCCGCTGCTTCCGGTAGGGCGGTGGGTCCGGGCTCGGACTTCCGGCGGCGGCGGCGGCGGCTGTCCATAGCTGGCTCGGCTTGCAGTTTTGTGCCCTCTGCCCCTGGGCTTTCTGAGCAGAGTGACCCTCCCGGGCGTCTTACCCGGCACCGGCTTGCGCCCAGTCACAGCGAGGCCCACCAACTTCGTTCCCCTTAGAGCCTGCGTCTGCCTGAACCTGCCGCCCCAGTTGAGCAGGCGGGGCGTTTTTAACAAGCTTTCTCAGCTTTTGTTTGCTCTAAGGGGTGAAAACGGCTGCGGGGCCGATCTCCGTGCCCCGGCGGCCCTAGCTGTCTTCGCCGGGAGGGTGCAGGCAGAGCAGTCCACAGCTGGACAGCCCCGCGCAGGCCGGCGCTGGTCTTTGAGCGCCGATCCTTCTAGCAGCTGCAGACCGACTGGACTAAAAGGTTAAACAGCTCGAAGTCCTGTGCCCATAAACTGTCAGAGCTGGACCTTCGTGAAGACAGCTAATTCATGACGGGCGCGAAACGCGCCCACTCTCAGGCCCTGCTCTGACTTGACTAGAGTGAACCATTAATTCCTGACCAGAACCACAAGTGGCAGGCCTTAATTATTGCAGCACAATGATATAAAGACACTTGCCCGACATCACGCAGAGGCCGGATTCCAACCCAGGTGAGTTCACCTGGTGATCTCCATCTCTAATGTCCCAAACAGTAGCAGATTCCAGAACAACTACGTGACTTTATTAAATTATTAGGGAAAATATTCCATTTTAAACACTTGTTGACACAACTCTTGCACAACAGCGTTCCTAACTTTAAAAGAATTCAAAGCTGTCATCTTTGGTGATATATATGGTGAGATAGAGATAGAGATAGATAATATCTTTATTTTGCTAAAAGCTTTGGTACCTGTGAGATACTTTACTTGCAGGCCATGTGTTTTTATGAGTCCATGGATACTACTTAGATGAAATGTTAAGATTTATGTGTTGGTTTTCACAAATTTAGACCCATAAGATCCGGGTTTGATTCTTAACTGCTATTTTGTGAGTTTGGGTAAGCTTTTGTTAAAAAGGACCCTTTACCCTTAGTTTCCTCATCTGGAAAATAGATGGTTTTTGTGTTTTGTTTTGTTTTGGATTAATGAACTCCTATATGCAAAGAGTCCAAGCCCTGGCACTCACTGAAAGATATCTAGTTTTATCCATTATTCTGCTACCCAAAGAGATTGTACAAATCTACTATCTACAGTATTTCTCTTCTCTGAACCTAAAAGCAAGGGTGACACCCTGGAGCTATGCATCTGAACATGTGTAGACCAAGTCCCAGGCGTAGTAAAAGCACTTAAGTCAGTGCTGAAGAGGTTAACAAATACGTTCCTTTAATTTCATGTCTCTTCTGTCTCCACTGTCTTATAGATAACTTAGTTATTTTCTTCAGTTCAACCTGAATGGATTCCCTATGCTGGAAAGGTATATAATAGAGACTGAGGATCCACTTAGCTAATTTGTAATTTTTGTGGTGTTGTTAACACCTTTAGGAACCTAATTTTAGGCACAAGCCAAAAACAAAAACAAAACACCAAACCCAAAAAATGTTTCTTGAAGAGTGAACTGTGGAACAAAATGATTAGATTTTTCCGAATGGTTTTCTTCATCTAGCCCACATATTGGATAAGCTGTTTAATTTTCCTCTTTATTTTTATTCAGTTAAGATTCTACAATCTTAAAGTTGATTCAAAATATGGGAAATGTCTGGGAGAATATAAGTCATTCATCAAAGTAACAGAAATTAAGGTGAACACATTGACCCTTGTTCTCTGAATGGACAGACCTTCTTATTCACAATATTTAATTAAGAATAATATGGGTGTTAATTACAAATAATCACCACATATCATAACTAAAACCATTTATGGAACAGTTATTTGAAGGATGAGATAATACTTTCCTAAGCAAGATGAAAGACCATAAACATAGTTCTCCGAAACCTTTATCATTAGTGTCAGCTTCTTCTGCTCATTTCTTATCAGCCCCTGCAAAGTTCACTGCAGTGTTCCTTGGTAGAGGGCAAACCTGCAAAGACAGCGTGTTCTAAGAGGTGGAAACTTGAAGGGTTGTGTTTGGTTCTCAATATTTGGGGGTTGGAGAAACCTCATTTAACTTTGGATGCTTCTCTACATCACATGTGTTTCATTACTTGCTTCATATTAGTATTTCTTTGTTTTTGCCTGTAAAAAGAACAGTAAGAACTATTTATTTCCTCTGCTAATGCTAAGTTTTGAAATAAGCTGAATGTGCACAGGCACTTTCTCTGAGGATAGAAAGTGCCATTTAATTATCTTTTTCTTGGATTTCAGATCATATGGATCACAATTATAAGGCAGGATACAACTTAAATGTTGAAAAAAAGAATAATTTTAAATATAAGACTAAATCTAATACTTGGAGACATTTAAGAAATTTTGTGTTAACTATCCCCTTGCTTTTCTTTATAAATTTTATTCTATATACATGTGTCCATGAATATTGTTTGGTTTTACCTGTTTTTGCACTTGATAAAAATGGAAGTGTACTCTGAAATCTTTAAACAATTTTTTCATTTAAAATTACATTTTTAAATTAATCCTAATTAATATAGCCATGTTACTGCTGCATTCCACTGAATGACTATAAAAATTATCCATTTCACAGTTGATTAATTTTGAGTTGTTTCCTGTCTAATTTGTTATTACAGCCTTTCTTGTGCATGTCTCCTGGTGTACCTGTAAATGTTTCTCTGTAATATACCGAAAGCAGGATTAATGGGTCATGAGTTTGTTGAGCATTACTAGGTAATGTCAAACTGTAGGTTGCATTAATTGATGTCATCACTATCAGTCGCTTTGTATCCTTGCCAATACTTGGTATAATTTTTTCTAGTCTGTTAGATAGAAAAATGATATCCCATATATGACAGCTTTGCATTTCTTTTGCATTTTCCTACTAACAAAGTGGAGCACTTTCACATGTTATTAGTGGCCTTTCAGATTTCCTTATCCATGAAATGTTTGTTCATGTCTTTTGCCCATTTTTCTGTGATTATTTGGGATTTTCTTTTTGGTTGATAGGCATTTCTATATTGTGAATCTTAATTCTTTGTCAATTAAATGTGTGGCAAACTCCATATTTATTTCTTTTGGTTCAGGCTATTTCCCCCTCTTTTAGTTCATCTTTCTGTTTTCTGTTCATTTTTCTTATCATTATCGCCCTTCCGTCTGTTCTGCCGCAAAATGTGATAAAGGGCTGCAAGTCCAACACTGTGGAGGTAATTACTACTGCCTGAGTAATTTGTATACTTTGAGTAGCTTCTGGACTGTTTAAAGATGTAGTATGCAGCCTCCTGTCAGCCGTGGCTAATTCACAAAATCATTACCTTTAAAAAAAAAAACTATAGCACTGTGTGGTGTGGCTCAATGCACTGAGTACTGGCCTGTGAACCAAAGAGTCACTGGTTCGATTTCCAGTCAGGGCACATACCTGGGTTGCAAGCTGGGTCCCAGTTGAGGGTATGTGAGAGGCAACCACACACACATTCAAGTGAATTTGGCAAAAGATGGGGATAGAAGTCAATATTCAGAAATTGAAGGTATTTTTGTGCACCAACAATGAAATATCAGAAACAGAAATCAAGAAAAAATATCCCATTTGCTATAGCAACAAGAAAAACAAAGTACCTAGGTATACATTTAACCCAGGGGTTAAAAGAACTGTACTCAGAAAACTACACAAACTATAAGAAAGAAATTAAGGAAGACACAAATAAATGGAAGCATATACCATTTTCATGGATTAGAAGAATTAACATCATCAAAATGTCCATACTACCCAAAGCAATTTATAGATTCAGTGAAATCCCTATTAAAACACCAATAACATTTCACAGATATAGAAAAGCATTTCAAAAAATGTATATAGAGCCATAAACTACCCTGAGTAGCCTCAGCAATTTTGAGAAAGAAGAGCAAAGTAGGAGGGATCACAATATATGATCAAACTGACATCAAACTATATTACAAGGCCACTGTAATCAAAACAGTCTACTATTGACAGACACATAGATCAATGGAACAGAATAGGGAGCCCAGAAATAAACCCATATCTCTATGATCAATTAATATTTGATAAAGGGGCAGAAGCATAAAGAGGAATAAAAATAGCTCTTCAACAAATGATATAGGGAGATCTGGACAGCTACATGCAAAAAAATGAAACTCAACCACCAACTTACACCATACACAAAAATAAACTCAAGATGGATAAAAGACTCAAATATATGTTGTGAAACCATGAAAGTCCTAAAGGAGAACAGAGAAAGGAAAATCTCAGATATTCCACACAGCAATATTTTCACCAATATGTCTTCTAGAGCGAGGGGCATAAAGGAAAGAGGGAACAAATGGGGCTTCGACAAACTAAAAAGCTTCTGCATGGCTAAAGAAAACATCAGCAAAATGAACAGGGAATCCACTGTATGGGAAATTATATTTGCTAATGATACCTCAGACAAGGTCCTGATCTCCACAATGTATAAAGAACCTATGTGACTCCACTACAGGAAGACAAACAATCCAATTAAAAAGTGGGCAAAGGACCTAAATAGACACTTCTCCAAGGAGGACATACGGAGGGCCCAGAGACATATGAAAGAATGTTCAACTTCAGTAGCCATGGAAGAGATGCAAATTAAAATCACAATGAGATACCACTTCACACTGATCACAATGGCCATCATAAACAAATCAACAAACAACAAGTGCTGGTGAGGTTGTGGAGGAAAGGGAACCCTAGTACAATATTGTTGACCGGTGCAGCCACTGTGGAAAACAATGTGGAATTTCCTCAAAAAACTAAAAATGGAACTGCCTGTTGACCTGGCAATTCCACTGCTGGGATTATACACTAACAATCCTGAAACACCAATTTTGAAGAGCCTATGCACCCCAGTGTTCACAGCAGCACAATTTACAATAGCCAAGTATTGGAAACAACCTAAGTAACCATCAGTAAATGAGTGGATAAAAAAAACTATGGTACATTTACACAATGGAATACTGCAAAGCAGAAGGAAATAAGGAGCTCCTATTCTTTACAACATCATGGATGCAACTGGAGAGCATTATGCTAAGTGATGTAAGCCAATCACTGACAGACAAATACCATATGATCTCACCCTTAAGTGGAACCTAATCAACAAAACAAACAAGCAAGCAAAATATAACCAGAGACACTGAAATAAAGAACAAACTGACAGTAACCAGAGGGGTGGGGAGAGGGGTGTAATTGGGAAAAAGGGGGAAGGGTCATCAAGGAACATGTATAAAGGACACATGGACAAAGCCAAAGGAGGGTAAGATTGAGGGTGGGAGGTAGGGATGGGTTGGGCGGGGGGAATGGTGGGGGGAAAATGGGGACAACCGTACTCGAATAACAATAAAAATAAAAATAAATACATAAAAGAAAAAAGAAAAAGCTGTAGTTTTTCTTTTATTATTGTGAAATAATTTTTCAAAACTAGCATATGAGTTTTTCCCATCCTTTAAAAAAGTAACTAGGTTTGTTTTAGAGCAAAGGTTAATGGTGCTAACTTCAAGGTACAAACTGATATCTCTGTAATTTCCTAAACTTGATTTGTGTAATGCTTTCCTCTGTACTTTGAATTAATAGCTCCTGCTTCTTCCCATCAACACACACACACATACACACACCCCACATCCTATACTTCAGTTTTGGAGCTCAGGCTTATATGATATCTAATATATATTCAGCATCTTCCTCATGGCTCAGAACTAACCTCAAAAGAGTGGTCTATAAATTCTTTTTTTGAAAGCTTGTTTCTCGCTTTCACAAAGAGATTTTACTTCTTAATAATTTTTGTTATGAACTTATTTTTTAAACAAGCCATCCTCTCACTTGAAAGTTGCTAAGAGAGTAAATCTTAAAAGCCCTCAGCACAAGAAAAAAATTCTATAACTATGTATATTGATGGATGTTATCTAGACTTATTGCAGTGATCATTTCACAATACATACAAGCATCACATCATTATGTTGTACACATTAAACTAATGTTGTATGTCAGTTATACCTTAGTTTTTTAAAATAGCTAGATAAGCCAATGTTTTTTTCCTACTGACTTTTTCAAACTTCTAGTCAGCCATGCAGGATTAAATAAATATTTAGAGAAACCACTGGAAGGCCTGAAGACTATGTTCTTAAAGTACACAGAAGGTCTCTTTGAAAGGCTTGCTTTCAAAGAAATAGGCTGAGTATCTGTGCTGAGAAAAATTATATTTAGAATACCCACAAACTCTTTATGAAATCTTTGTTTAGAAATATGAGTTTGTACAATACATTGCTATAGATTAACTGAAGAGAAGTCATCTCTTTGCCCAAATGAGGAAGACAGTAATGACAATTACTGATTTATCTCCTTCTATCAGAATAGTCTCTAGTTTATCTGTAGGAGATAGCTATCCCTGCTGGAAAAACCAAGTGAGCCAACCCAGTGATTCCACTTCCAAAAATTTATATGGAGAAACCCAAAAAACTATATGCACCCCTATGTTTATTGCACCATTATTTGCAATAGCCAACTATGGAAGCAACACAAGTGCCTATTAATAGACAAGTGGATAAAAAACCTGTGGTTCATATATACAATGGAATATTACTCAGCCATAAAAAGAAAGAAATCTTATCATTTGCAACAGCATGGATGAACCTAGAGGGTATTATGCTCATGAATAAGTCAGTCAGAGAAAGGCAAATACCATATAAGTAGAATCTCAAGAACAAAATAAATGAACAAACGAAATTGAAAGAGATTCATAGATACAGAGAGAGAGCTGGTGGTTGCCAAAGGGAGGGGATTTGGGGCACTGGGTGAAGGAGGTGAAGGCACTAAGAAGCATAAACTGGCACCTGTGAAATAGTCATGGGGAGGTAAGTAAAGCATAGGAAATATAGTTGATGATATTGTGATAACTGTGTATGGTGCCATGTGGAGTACTAGAAATATTGAGTGGAGTACTCTGTAAATTATGATTGTCTAACCACTGAGCTGTATGCCTGAAACCAATAGTTTTTTTTTTATGAAAAATAAAATCAAGTGAGCCATCTCAACCTTGAGGTCCAAGAGTATTTAGACTCAGAGAACCCTACCTTCAGTGGGATAACAACCAAATGTTGTTTAGTTCTGCAATATCCATCTTACATGTTAAAATCAATCTAATACAAGTCCAGCCTCAATGTGAGGAGTTCTCCATAATTTTGGCAAGCTTTAAGAGTCTCTAACTCAAAATCATGACTAACTATAATCCAATATTTAGGAATGATTTAGTTTATATAGCTACCAAAAATGCTTCTACCAGTCTTAGAGAAATCAGATTTCTCATATGATATGATTATCTCTGAGCTAAGTTATAGCCAAACCAGTGAAGACCACTTGCAATTTTCTCTCTTTTTGGTTCAACCAGCATGGATCTTGATGGCTCTCAGCAAGATCCTGAAATGAAGGACAATCCTCCCGTCTATGTTGGCAGAGAAGATGACATTAAGAAATCTGAAAGAATGACAGCTGTTGTCCATGAGAGAGAAGTGGTCATTTTCTACCACAAAGGAGAATATCATGCTATGGATATTCGCTGTTACCGTAAGATTTTATTTTTTCATTTGTAAATCTTGTATTTGCTTACTAAGCATAAGACTGTCAAAATTTCAGATTTTTTAGTGACTAGATGTAATATTCAATTTCTTTTCAGACTCCGGAGGACCTTTACATTTGGGAGACATAGAGGTATGTAAAATTAAATCTATTCTCATAAAACTCAGATATTTCTTATTTACATTCTTATTTCATTTTGTATTCAAAATAATTTACATTTAGGTTTGGACTACATTTTAATGCTTCTAGTATCATTTTTAATATTCTAGAAATTTACAGCCCTACAATGTAAAGAAAACCATTTCACAGGTAAATGTGAGAAGCATACATGTCTTCTAATGAAGCAATCATACTCTAAGATATCTACCTCACAGATATAATTGCACAAATGTTTAATTGTATCTATAGGAGAGGGTCATTGTAACATTATTTATTTTAATAAAAATGGACAACAACCTAAATGTTTCAGCAATAGGAAACAGTGTAAATTATGAATAGTCGTGCTGTGGAATACTGCACAACAACTAAATTAACGAGGCAGATCTATATATGTTGGTATGAAAGGATGTCAACAATATATTTTTGAGTGAAAAAATTAAGTCATAGAATAATAGTTCTAATGTAATCCCATTTCTAAATAAAAAATAACATTCACTTTTTAATCACTCTTCAATTAATATATGAACTCATGCCTTTAGTAACCTGTCTTTATTTATATCTGAAGCTTATCATTCTTCCAGCAGCTAGTGAAAATTGCTTTAGAAGCACCTGAAGCCATTGCTTCATTTCTGTCAAGGAAGTGACATTGGCATGTCATATTTAACAGCACAGATACAGTAACATGGTGTAGTTACGTGAGCTAGTAACCGTCTGATCCAGCTGTAATCCACCAGGTCTCACATCAACAGCAAAAGGGACTGATGACTGTTAAGATTATATTCTGCCTAATGATGAATAATTTTTAAATGGAAGGGAAAAAGAAAAGCTGGTTTGTTCTTTAACCTGATTCTTCTGCAATATATTGTGCTGAGTTTGAGGTTTATTGTAAACATTGGAAAGGTCAGATTATTAAATCAGTTTTTCCTTCTCCAGGATTTTGATGGACGACCATGTATAGTTTGCCCCTGGCATAAATATAAAATTACTTTGGCAACAGGAGAAGGACTATATCAGTCTATAAACCCTAAAGATCCGTCAGCCAAACCCAAGTGGTGTTCTAAAGGAATAAAGCAAAGGATTCATACAGTGACAGTGGACAATGGGAATATTTATGTGACTCTTTCTACTGATCCTTTCAAGTGTGACTCTGATTTTTATGCCACTGGAAACTTCAAAGTAATTAAGAGTTCTTCCTGATAAAATTATATGGCAGTGAGCAATGTGCATGTTTTGAAAATAACCTTGTTTCAATACCAAAGATGATTTTTTCCAACACAGGTGCCTTACTTATCTTTAAAAATCATATAAATCTGACAGACCCCAAAGCACATGGACTGGGTAGGATGTAAGGATTAGCATCAGGATCTGCAGAATACATTTCATCCAGTCCTCCGGACTGACCGGAACCTGAAGGTTATAGGTCTGGTATGGGCATTGTAAGAAGGATGAAAGTAATTTGAAGTAACTAAAATGAAGAAAAGGTATAAAATAAGATCTGCTAAGAAAAATGGGTGGGAGCAATTCCACCCATTTGATGTAGCAATGTTATCATGGAAAAGTTTAATATATACAAAGTAAACAAAATAGTATAATAAACTCCCATCACCCAACTTCAACAATTTCAGCATTCTCCTATTACTGTTTTATTGCCACCTTCATGCATTCCCCACCTCTCCTATTTGATCATTACTTTTTTCTTTTTTTAATTTATTTTTTAATTGTTCAAGTACAGTTTTCTGTCTTTTACTCCCATCCCAGCCCATGCACCCAGCCCCCCTCCCATTTCCACTCCCCCTAGTTTTTGTCCATGTCTGACCATTACTTTTTAATGGTAAAATTTAAATATTTTGAAATAGATCTTAACTTCAGACTTTCTAAATACAGGGGAGGGCAAAAGTAGGTTTACAGTTGTAAGTGTGTGAAACAATTTATTCTTATATTATTATTTATCAATTATTGTATGATATGCCATATGAACAACTGTAAACCTGCTTTTGCCTACCCCTGTGTATAAGACTTTTTACACTTAAAATTCGCCTCCAGAAATGGGATAAGTTTACATGCTGAGTTTAAAATAAGAAATTTATCAATATGCTGGACATCAAAACCAAATAAACTGTGGTCAGTTCCTCTCTGATCAAGACAAACCGTCTCAAAGTGAGAAGACACACACAGCTGCTGCCCAGCCAGGGGAGATGTGACGTTTCCTGGTCAGTGAGCCAAAGTACTTTGAATTTGAATGCCTATGTGAAATTTTCAAGTAAAGACTTTTTTAAAAAAATTATAGAGAACCTTGCTCTTGTATGTACAACTGTTTCATGTAAATGTTATAAAGAGAAGAGGTACCGGGCATTCTTCCTCAGAGTCCTCTCTGTTGCGTTGGTGTTAGGGGTTCACCCTGCTTTACCATGACAGATACCTTTGGGCAGTGCTGTTCTGGTTGCCTGGGGCCCACCCTGCACTTTAACACCCTGGGTGCTAGGTATCTAAAACTTGGCAGCACGTAGAATGTAAGAGTAAGTCCAACGACAAAGAGCCGGGGTAAGCAGAATAGGAATTCAGAGTGAGAAGAACTGCCGTGTTTGGAACCTCTTCCCCAAAGCACGGTGATGTTCTTAGTGGCACAGGGTTGAATTAAGGTTCCAAACTTGGACTCTTTCCCTTGATTATTATAAAAATAATAAGCAAATAAAGTATCATTAAGGCTCTGCTTACAGAGCCCTTTTCTACACACTATTAAATTTCCCTTTCTGCTGGAATATGGGAAGCCTGAGGTAATACAACACTTGCACTCATTTTTCAGACTACTGCTAAAGAGTCAGGCTTGAGCTCTGTATAAATACTGTTTATGGCAGCAGCTACTCACGGGGTATAAGAAATGTGCCATCTCTGGAATGGGCACATCCCAACCTATTATATTAGGTGCCAGTCCTCTAATGACCAATCAGGTCCTAACATGTGGCCAGAATTTTAAATACACAGAAGAAACCAAAGAATCTCCTGCAGGCAAAACCATGGCTTTGGTTAGCAGGGCCAGTTATAGACTCTCTTAGGATCCAGTAGTAACAGTGAGTAACATGAACTCTATTTCTGGTTTTAGATTTGTTACTCTAAATCTGGAAATGAAAAATGTCCTGTCCTGTCCTGTTCTCATATACAGAACTCTTCTCAGATTTGTAAACAATATTCTATTTTACAACTTTATGAAATCTATGAATTGCGAGTCCTACTTTACAGATAAGTTTTAAAAGAAGTGGTAATAGGCAGACTCAAACTAGGCAAACTGTAGATAGAACACAAATATCTTTTGAAAAATGTCTCTAAAAAAGATATGTAGCATTTTTATTGGGATGGTTTTACCCTCCCAGAAAAATAATTAGAAAGATACTCAAAACAAGTCTTTAATAAAAAACATAAATGTATTATAAATAGACCTATATTATAAAACACAGCATAAAGTCTTCCCACCAAAGGGTACATTTTCTTGTTCATTAAAAGATATCAGATAGTGATACATGTATTTTATTTTCTCTACCTTATAAATACTTGAGTATGACATTTTATTAATTCCTCCCCTCCCTTCTTAAAAGCAGCTTAACTCTTAGTATATGAAAACTAGTTTCCTACCTTTGTCAGATAAAATGTTATTAGATAGATAACTCTTAAACTGTTCAGTGATATTTATGTTTAGATTTCCTCACTCATTTATTTCAGTTGATTGGTCAAACACAGAATGTAAAACCTGGATCTCATCATTCAAATGACGAGCAGGAACATCTGAAACATTGTCTGGCCTCTCCGGCCACGACCTGTAAGGTCTAGCTTTGATTTCGCCTTCAGGAAATACAGGCTCCGAAAAGGCTTTTCTAAGATTCCCGCTCTCCTCTCTGTTGTGCCTTATGGATTCTTCTTCTTGGAAAATCTTCTTTACCTTCTCCAGAACAGCATTAACACAGACTGTCTAACAATGAAAACAAATTGAAAAGCAAAGTTTCTTTTTTAGCCACTGGACTTGCAGATAGAAAAGTCCAATAAAGTGTTTAAGATAAAGTCACTCATTAGTCTCCTTATTCTAATGGAGAAGCCCTTCCTTTCAGGAACCACTGGCACATGATAAACATCAAGAGATTGGTCCCTTGTTCTGAATATATTACATCATAATCTAGAAAGAAAAGTAAAACATAGTGTGACTAAATAAAGCTTCACATCTTTTTTCCCAATTCATTAGATGTTTTATATTTTTATTCTGATTTAATTAAATGAAACATTTCCTTTATTCTCCTGATTTAATCCAGTGGAATTTTCTGAGAGTTGAAATTTGTCTCTAACATGTTAATACCACACAATAGGTTTTTGTTTTTGCTTTTTCCCACCTGGACTTTGCTCATACCCATGGGTACAACTGGAAGGGCATGAACAGTCTGGTGAGAATTTAGTAAGCTAGTAGATCAATGATTTCTAAAGAAACATGTGATCCATTTTCCCTCAAAAATGCCATTTCATAATTTAAGACAGTGTCAAAACATATAGAGAAAAATACTTCAAAAACTGAGAATCACTAAGAACTTCACCCACTAAACATATTCTATAAGTTTGCTGATGATGAAGACAATGATAATGCCAAATATCTAAGGCACAGGTGGCAAACACAAGGCCCATGGGTCAAATCCAGCTCTCTACCTTGTTTTATCTGGCCTGGCATCTTGTTTCTACCTGGTAGCAGTGTTGAGCTCTTTGCCCCTAATTAAGGAGTAGTTACATTTATACAGTCCTAAAATTACATTCGGCCCTTTAAATGCTGATGTGGTCCTCGGTGAAAATGAGTTTGACAGCCTGGACCTAAGGCAAACAATAAGAATAATACAGTCCATGAAATATAAAAAGACCTAGACTAGTTTATTTTACCAGCGATGCCTTAAGGTGATATAATTGGCTATAAACACTTGGAAGATGTTCAGAGAATAACAGGAAGGACTGGAGAAAGGATTGATTTCCTCCTTTCTTGCCTGCCTCTCACTGGAGAATGGGTAAACATCAGATGCTTCTCCTAACCATCCTGCAGTTAGTCTGTGGCCATGTGACCCTGTTCTGTCCAAAGAAACAAAATGTCTTCTAGACAGGAGATCAGAAAGGATTTTTGGGAAAGTTTTTCTTCCTATACAAAAAGAAAGACTGTCTTTTGCCTCTACCTATCCCCTTCTTTGTGGCTTGGAAACTGATAGGGATGTAATGCCTGAGCAAACCCAAGGACTAAAGAACAAACAGGATAGCAGAAAAAAAAGATAGAAAGGCCTTGGGTTCATGATGACATTGTAGACCTGCTGGGCAAACTTGGGAACTCCAGCCCAATTCCAGACTTCTAACTAAGAGGGGTGTTTAAATGTCTTTATTGATAAAGGCACTGTCAGGTGTTTTTTGTTACTTGCATCTGAGTATATCCAAACCCAGAACGATAAAGCTGGAAGTGCGTCACTTACAGATGCAGATGCAGATAGCTTCGTGTATTTATCCCAAATATGATCATTTTTTATATTCCATGCTCTGAAAACAGGTTGGGAAGCCCTATCATATCTGATACATTTATTCTTCCCTCACCTACAGAACTTTATCTGTGCCCATTCTAACCACTTCTGTCCCAGTTTTAGACAACGAAATGTCTTGATCAAGGTCAGTATTTGTCTGTCTTTGCTTTTAACGTATACCCTGTCACCTTCCCTGTCACTTATTCCTGCCTTTTTAGTTTAGTTTAACTGGCTCTCCCCCTGCTACACGTTCAACTGTCATCCATCCTAAAACTTAAAAAATTAATAATCCCTGGGACCCTGTTTCCCTCTTAATTGCCACACACTGTCTTCTTGACCAAACAAAAAAGAAGAATCTGCACTCATGGTTTCTACGTTATCATCTCTTCATTCCAAAGCCTTCTCGTTTCTGTCTTCTGTATCCCACCCATCACACCACTGAGATAGTTCTCAAGATAGTTATCTCCAACACCTCCACTTCTAGGTCTAATGGAAACGCAAAACCTTCACTGGTCTTGCCATTTTCTGCTTGTTTTTGATGTCACTCTTCAGTTCCTGAGTCTCTCTTTCCTTGACACTATTTCTCCTGATTCTCCTTTTACTTTTCATTTTATTGCTTTTTTGTGTCCATGGATTTCTCCCTAGCTCTTCATAAATGTTGCCATGTGCTCCACATTTCTGTCAACTTCCCACTCTTTCCATTTGGCATGGTTCCACTCAGAGTATTGACTTCCAACATAAATGTCATTTGCCTTCAAAACCGTAATTCCAGACCCGACCACTCCTAGGCTTTGCTTGGATGCACATATGACCGATTATCAGATAACCAAAAATTGTTTTATTGCCTACTTAGAGAATTTATAGCATGACAAATCATGTGACATGATTTCAAAAAAGCCTTTAAGAAATTGGAGTTTAATTTTGGCTGTAGACTCATTTTTTTTTAATTTCAACATGGCCATTTAATCTCACCCCTTTTTCACAGTTTATTTGCATTCTAGCTCAGCTGGATGTCAATTCTGTATGAAATTCACATTTAAGATATTGAGCACATCTCAAAAATTTAAAACACTTTTAAAATACTTATTTGATAAACTCAGGTTTTTTTTTAAAAAACTGTATGTGTTTAAAAGTAAATTCTTTTAATACTTTTTTTTTCAAAATGTCTTAAATAGTCTTGACTCCTTGCATGTCCCTATATATTTTACAATAAACTAGTCAACTTATAAACACTGCTCAGATTTGCATTGGGACTGAACTAACTCTACAGATTATGGGAAATTTTTATATTATTGTACGTTTTAAAGTGATCAAAAATAATAACAAAATGTGTAAGACATTAACAAAAAAACATAAAAATTATTAAGAGAAAATAAAGAAAACAGAGAGATATACCATGTTCACAGATTGGAAGGATTTATTCTACCAGTTATTAAGACTTTTAAGGTTTCTGTAAATAACAGTGTTGAATTGGTAGAAGCATAGACACGTAGATCAACAGTATAAAGCAAAGAGTATACAAACAGACTTACATATATAAGGACAGTTGATTTATGATAAAAGAAGTGTTCTTGAGCAATAGGGAAAGGGTGTTTTTTTTCACCAATAAATTGAGTCAGTTCAATTGGATACCCATGGAGGAAAAAATCGACCCTTACTTCATACCAATTTCAGGTGCATTATCAACCTGAAAGTGAAAGGTATAATAATAAAGCTCCTAGAGCACATACATCAAAGGGAAGAGCCTCATGTGTTGGATGTGGGTTGAAATTCCACAGTTAAGATATATAAAGCTCTTAACATAAAGGAAAAATTATAAACTGGATTACATTAAAATTAAGAACTTCTTTTTTTAAACATACTGATAAAAGAGGAAAAGGCAAGTCATAGAAAAAATAAATCTGCCCATATGTAACCCAAAGAGAACTTGTTCCTAGAATATGGGGGTAGGTAAAAGTAGTTTCACAGTTGTTCATATTGAAAATACAATAATAAATAATAATACAATAATAAACTCTGTGTTTTGGATACTCAAAACTGTAAACCTACTTTTGCTCACCCCTGCATATTTTAGAAGTATAGATCAATAATAAAAGAATGAACAACTCCCAACAGAAAAATAAGAAGATACAATTCTTTAATAGATATTCACAAAAAGACCTGGCTGGTGTAGCTCAGTGGATTGAGCACGGGCCTGCGAACCAGATATTCACAAAAAGGATATCCAAATGTCCAATTAATGTCCAATAAGGTATTCAATCTCATTAATAATCAAGGAAATATAAGTTCAAATCACAATGTGATAATAATGTATACCCATAAGAATGGCTACAATAAAAAATATTGAAATACCAAGTGTTGGTGATGATATAGAGAAACTGGAAATCTTATAATCTCCTGGAAGGAATTGTTAAAACCATTTTGGAAAACTGTTTGACAACCTCTACTATAGATGAACATGTACATATTTTATGGTCTAGCAATTTCATCAAAATATATGTACAATAATATTTATAGCACTTCATTCAAAATAGCCAAAACTGTAAATAATCTAGATATTCAACAGTAGAATGGATAAACAGTAACAGAGTCAATCAGTGGAATACTACACAGCAATGAAAATCCACAACCTACTGCTATAAGCATCAAATAAATGAATCTCGTAATAATAGTGTTGAGCAAAAAAGGGAAAATACAAAAGAATATATAGTATAGGATTCACTTATATGCCATTCAGACAAAAACACCTGCTATATTATAAGTCAAAGTAGTGGTTGTCTTTTTAGAAGAGGTTAGTGATTATGAGGGAGCCAAGAAAGAGGCTTCTAGAATAATAGTAATATTTTGTTTCTTGACCTGTGTGATATATAGATTAATAAATTTTGTGGTAATTCATCAAGCTGTATACTTCCCTCTTTGTATGTTATACTTTTTTTTAAAATGTAGAGGTAAGTATAAATGGAAATAGATTAAAAGAAATAACCCCTTATAATTTATAAAATCTTTTCTATTTTGTCATGCTTTTTGTTGAACACTTTTGAACTTGTAATTCAAAATATACTTTAAGTTTATAGCACTCAGAATTCAAACTACACTAGTATTTGTTTTCCCCCAAATCATATGGGGGAAAATTAAATGCCGGGATACTGAATTTGAACCAACCATGGCACAATGGCTAAAACAAAACAACTGTAGCTAAATGAAAACAAAATAATAATATTTTGAGCAAGTGGTAATACACTTTATAGAAATAAAATAATTTTAGTTATTTAAGTAAATTTGGTTTTGGTGAAGTAAATTTTTAATGTAAAATTACCTTGTTTCATGAATATAATGTACAGTATACTTTTAACAATGTTACATAGAATCAGTATATTTATTTATAGATCCTAATAATTTTCTTAACTTACCAAATAAATTAATGCTGCATATGAGGCATATATTAGGCTAGCTAAAGCAGTCTTTGCTGGGAAGGAAATGATATCGAACAAAGAACCCTTCCTGACCTGTAAAAAAAAAAAGTTCTCAATGTTACAGTGTTAAATTTTACAGTGTTATTGAAAAATGAGAATTTAAAGTTTTTCAAAGAAAGTCATGTACTTTAGATCTGGCTTTGTTCACATCCTAAAAATATATTGGTTTGTTTTTCTTCTTTTATAAAAAAAAATACATTCTTTTGCTCATCAAAACCTATGACATATCTATTTTAAAAACCTTGCATTTCCAAAATCCAAATTATTTTAACTTTTTTACATTTACCAAGTGCTCACCAGAGGGTGCTGCTGTGCATGTTGGAAAAACAGCCTGTGTCTCCCTTGCCTGAGGAGATATAGCAGAAAAAATCTCACTAGGAGCAGTCTCTGAGATTTTACTGCCTATGTTTTCTTCTAGAATCTGTATGGTTTTCGGTCTAATATTTAAGTCTTTATTTTGAATTTATTCTTGCATGTGGTGAAAGGAGGTGGTCTAGTTTATTTTTTACGTGTATCTGTCCAATTTTCCCGACACCATTTGTTGAATAAACTGTCTTTAACCCATGGTATGTGCCTGCTTCCTCTGTCAAATATTAATTGATATAAAGGTGTGGGTTTATTTCTGGGCTCTCTATTCTGTTCCATTGATCTATGTGTCTTTTTTGTGTGTGTGCCAGTACCATGCTGTTTTGATTATGATGGCCTTATTGTTTGATATTAGGTAGTGTGAGGCTTTCGACTTTGTTCTTTCTCAAGGTCACTGTTGCTATTTGGGGTCTTTTGTGGTTTCAGAAAAGAAAAAATAAACAAATGGGACTACATCAAACTAAAAAGGTTTTGCACAGCAAAGGAAAACACCAACAAAATAAAAAATCCACAGAATGGGAGAATATATTCACCAACACATCTGATAAGAGGTTAATATCCAAAATTTATAAAGAACCTAAAAAACTCAACAACAAAAAAACCAAACGATTTGATTAAAAAGTTGGCAATGGACCTGAATAGACACTTCCCCAAAGACGACATACAGATGGCCAATAGACATAGGAAAAGATGTTCAATGTCACTAATCATCAGAGAAATGCAAATTAAAACCATAATGATATATTATCTCACACCTGTCAGCATGTTTATCATCAATAAATCAACAAATAACAAGTGCTGGTTAGGAAGTGGAGAAAAGGGAACCCTAGTGCACTGTTGGTGGGAATGCAGACAGGTGCAGCCTCTGTGGGAAGCGGTATGAAGATACCTTAAAAAATTAGAAATGGAACTGCCTTATGACCCAGTGATTCCACTTCTGGGAATTTATGTAAAAACCCCCCAAAACAGTAATTCAAAAGAACATAAGCACCCCTATGTTCATTGCAACATTATTTACAATCACCAAGATATGGAAGCAGCCCAAGTGTGCATCAGCAGTAGATGAGTGGGTAAAACAAGTGTCTTAGTGTCCAACCCACTGCCTGTGGGCTGCATGGGGCCCAAGATGGCTATGAATGTGGCCCAACACGAAATCATACATTTACTTAAAGCCTCTTTTTTTCATCAGTTTTAACTAGTGTTCGTGTATTTAATGTGTGGCCCAAGACAACTTCTCTTCTTCTAGTGTGGCCCAGAGAAGCCAAGGGTTTGGACACCCAGAGAATGGAATTTTACTTGGCTGTAAAAAAGAAGAAAATTTTACCCTTTGTGACAGCATGGATGGACCTGGAGAATCTTAGGCTAAGTGAAATGAGCCAATCAGAGAGAAACAAATAATAAGTGATTTCACTCATATGGGGAATCTAATGAGCAAACTGAACAAGCAAAACAGAGACAGACTCATAGATGGAGAGCAGATAAAAGCTAGTTGGGGGAGGGGACATTCAGTGGTGGAAGGATTGAGCAAAAAAGGAAAAAGGACTCATCATGGACAGGGAGAACAGTGTAGGGATTGCAGGGGGGATGGAGTATAGGAGGATAAATGGTAATGAAAAAATATAATAAAAACAAACACATTGGAAAAATAAAGGAATAAAATCAAAAGTCTTTGTTCAAATTCATGTAATCATCCTTTATTAAATTATTCATTTCTTCAATTAAGCAATCAAAATGCTGAGCATTTCCTGGAGATTAATGACCTGCTTGAAAATGCTAATCATGAAATTGCTGAAGGCCAGCATTAACCTTAGATGATCACTAAGCTTCAAGAAATGCTCTGTGCTCATGCCCAGCATGCTTTTTTGAAATGCAGAAAAGGTTTACACCAATAATGACTTTATCTCTCAAATGTTTCTAGCTTCTGGTAATAGAAGGTGCCCCTGCCTAAAACCTAATAGCATAATATATTCCGTTTAAGGGAACTGTACCCTCACAGGCCACCTCCACCTCTGCTGCCTTGAGCAGAATATGAAATGAGGACATTAGGGAAACCATTCCCCTCCCAGTCAGCAGTGCTGAGGCAGTTAGCCATGCATGCGCCTGTGAAGTAGAGCCAAGCCACTCTATGGCTTCAATAACTTCCAAAAGGTACAGGCTATAGCGAATAAAGTCATGCATTTGCACAGCAAAAATGCATACAATGTTATAAAACATTGAAAAACTGAAACAATGACAGAATGACTAGGTAAATTACACCATTGTTTACTTGATGGTATAGTGCAGCATTTAAAATCTGCTTCAATAGTCATCTAGACACTGGGGTTTGGAGGAGGTAAGAATAAATTATAAAGGGACATGAGGAAATCTGGGAGTGATGAATATGTTTCTTGACTGTGGCAATGGTGTTATAGGTGTATATACACATCAAATCTTATCACATTATATACTTTAAATATATGCAGTTTAATTTATATTAATGATATCTTGCCAAACTATTAAAACATGTGCTTGGGCTTGGGGTGGGGGGGCAGAATGTGCTTCCAAAGAACTGATAACATTTTAATGAAGAGTTACATGGCACTGTGTACAGGGTCAGGTTCTAAGTACTTGTTATTGCAGTAAACTCTGTTTTTGCTTACTGCTGCCACTGCTGAGTGACAAACAAAATTCCCCATCGCAATTTCCCTTCATCTCTTTTAAAAGATTTATGGAATGCGGAAGCTGAAGCCAAGAATACTATCTAGCCTAGTCGCTAAGAGATGGCTGTTGTGGAGGGGAGGGGGAGGGGGTGCTTATTTCAGGCCATACCAACTCCTACATGCGTAAGGGACATGTAGGGGCAGTTTTAGCTCCCTCTCTCCGCAAGTCAGTCTGGAAAATTTCCCAGCATTCCTGGCTTCTGGAAAGAGTTTCCAGGAAATAAAGCAGCTGTTGCTGTTTCCCAATTGTTAGGAGAATCAAAATGATAGCATGCCTTTGAATCCCACTGTTAGGCCACAAGGAGGCATTATATTAGTAGAGAGCAGATATACTCCAGCAAATGCCTCTGGCAGAGTGAAAGATTATGAGTTTGTGAATATATAAATGTAAGTGGGAATTCCATATTCAGTAACTGGTAGGCCATATACAATAAAAATAAAAGTGGCATCTGCATGCGTAAGGAGTTACTATTTCTGTTTCACTACATCTTTCTTTTTCAAATTTTGTCCTTCACCTAAAAAGAGTAATTAAAACCAATTAGTTTCAAAATAAATTATGTATTTGATACTCGTTATGCTTCTGAATAATGAATCACTATATTGCCTAAGGGTCACATTTTCACCATTTTAATGCTTTTAATAAATGCTTGCCATTCCTGTGACAAATCACCCCTGTAGAGAATGCATTTCCTCCCAAATTCATGTGGCTACTGGCAAGTAGCCATTTTTCTATTTTATGACTCATTTGCAATACATGTTTTTCATATTATAAGCTACTCTGTGTCATCTTTGGCTTGCTGTGAGCAGGGATAGTGTATGGTAAAAACAGATAAATAAACAGGAGAAATTTAGTAAATGGGAGGCTTTATTTAGATTGTCTTGGCCTATTTCAAAAATTTTATCTTAACCTTGTTGTTATATTAACTTATGTTTTTGCATATTTAAATTAAAAGTACTTCATATCAACGTCATGCCCACAGTTATTTTTTTAATTTGGTGACATTAATACATAAGTTATATGGATATAACAGTAAAAACATTTCAACTTTTAACTAAATTTTGCCCACATAATTTTGATTGCCTCATTTCATAAACAAACTGTTCTTATTTCTTTTCACTAATAATGAGATAAACCACAAAAAGAGCACGCTACAAGCAGTTTAGAAAACAAAGATCCCCCTGCAGATGATCTGAGGTTACACAATGACCAGGCCCCACTTAGTTTATGTTGTCCAAAACCACCTTGGTGAGGGATACCAGGGGAATGATAGGGGGAAACCAACTCAGTAACTCACGGGTAAGTAAGTGCTGCAAGAAGTACTGGCTCCTGTTAATAGGTCCAGAAGAAAGTGTTTCCTATAAGTTTGGGAAAGCTACAAAGACCATGTCTTTGCTTAGCAACTCACAGTACTCATGATCACAGGGAAGACTCCTCAAGTCTGCACACAGTAAAGGAAGCTGTTTGACTTTTTTTATCCCAGTATTAATGTCCTGTGGAACACTGATCTTAAATAAGCTCTTAATCAGGTGGTTCTGTAAGAGCTCAATGTCCCAACCTCCTGGCCAAATTGGAGAATTAAGTCTTCAAGATCCAGTAGTTCTGCTTTCTAGAATGGTCCTTTTTTCCCCAGCTCTGAAATTACACCACCCAAGATAGCCTCACAGCAGGCTCATCCAAGGACCTACAGCAGTTCCTGATTATTTGTGAGGGTTACAGTTTAACCCAACTGGAGTCTACCTTGGAGGGTTAGCTGCAGGGAGTAACTCTTACTTAGAAAAGCCTCGGACTTTCATCCTGAATAGGGGGCCACAAGTCACTGGGCTCCACCTATCTATGGCACAGGCATTTTAGAGGCTGAGCATTTTCTTTGCTTTGCCTGCACAAAGTGGAAACAGTTATCTCTGATGCCACTATGAGTGCTCCCTGTCCTGTGGCCCTGCATTGGCCTGCCAAAGTCAACAACTGTG